GTCAGAAGCCAAACGAATCACTTCGGCGATACTTGTACAGCTTAATAGAAATAGCAAGTCCAATTAATTTAGATGATGCGAGCATCATAAAATATTTCATTCAAGGTATTCCAGACTCGTCATTAAACAAATCTGTTTTATACCAAGCAGTAAATATTGAAGATTTGAAGATCAAAATGGAAGCGTACAAATCGATAAATTATAGCAAAAACAAACATGTACAGAACGAGAAGACTATGAATAAGATAAATACGCAAGATAATAAAAATTATAATAAAATGATGATCAAGTGTTATAAGTGTAATGAGGCTGGACATAAATCATTTCAATGTGCTAAAAACTCGGAAACAAAAAATTTTCACGTGTTGTCGGAAATTATGCCGAAAAATAATCGTCTCTTTAAAGACATTATGATAAACGGTAATCAAATGTCAGCGCTTATTGATACAGGGAGTGACATTAGTGCAATTCGATATAACCAATTATTTAAAATGGGAAACGTGAATTTAAAAGCTGATACTAAAAAATTTATCGGTATAGGACAAAAAGAAATTGTAACACAAGGTTATTTTTCTACGGTCGTAATTATTGACTCAATTAATATAAATCTTGACTTCCACATAACAAATAATTCTGACATTTTATGTATATCCAATAATTATCGGAAACGACATATTGGAGCAAGTTGATATGGTCGTAAGCGGCAACGGAGTTAAGTTTATAGATACAAAAAACGGCAACAGAATAATAAATGAAGAACATAAAATAATTGAAATACCAAAAGAAGATGCTAACTTAAAGCAGTCGCACAATATGAATCGGGACGATATTGAAGATTTTAAATGCATATTTGCAACAGCTTCGGAATTGTTTGACAATAATTGTGAATACGATCTAACCGGCATAAACAATGTATATAAAAAGGAGGTAGTAGAAATTATTAAAAGTTATAAGCCTGAAAAATCAACTAAAAGTCCTATTGAAATGAAATTAAAACTAAAGGATGAAGTACCAGTTTTTCAAAGACCAAGACGTATTTCAATTGCAGATCAGAAGGTAGTAGAAGAACAAACTCAAAGTTGGTTGGAGCAAGGGATCATACAAACAAGCAATTCAATGTATGCTTCACCTATTGTTTTAGTGAATAAAAAAGAAGGTTTCCTCAATCCTATTGATAAATCTGATAAACCGTTAAGTACATATCACATCGATCATGTAGGCCCGATGGAAGCAACGCAAAAGATGTATAATCATATTTTAGTAATCGTTGACGCCTTCTCAAAATTTGTTTGGCTGTATCCCACAAAAAGCACGGGAGCAAACGAGGTTGTAGATAAGTTACGCAAGCAAGCAGCAGTGTTCGGTAATCCAGAACGAATAATCACTGCCAGAGGAACTGCGTTTACGGCTAAGACATTCGAAGAATTTTGCAAAGAAGAAAACATACAGCACTTACAAATCGCAACCGGTGTGCCACGAGGTAATGGCCAAGTGGAAAGAATCCATCGAACAGTAATTCCAATGTTAACAAAACTATGTCATCAAAACCCGAAAATATGGTACAAACATGTTGATCAAGTGATGCAGACCTTAAACAATTCAGTTTCTAGAAGTACGAATAATACACCTTTAAAGTTGTTAACGGGGGTGGATATGAAAACAAAACATGATTTTGACTTAAAAGAACTACTGGCAAATGAAGAAATTTCTATGTTTGAAAATGAACGAGCAAATATACGAAATGAAGCGCGGAAAAATATCGAACGTATTCAAACGGAAAATAAAAAATGTTTTGATAAAAGAAGGAAACTCGGAGATGTGTATGCTATTGGCGATATTGTAGCTATCAAACGAACACAATATGGTCCTGGTCTAAAACTGAAACCCAAATTCTTAGGACCTTACAAGGTATCCAAAGTTTGCAGACATGGCAGGTATGCAGTAGAGAAAATTGGTAATTTCGAGGGGCCAAGTCAAACAAACACTGTCGCAGAATTCATGAAACGATGGCACTCAGCGTTCGAGGCCGCCCGCTAACCAGGATGGCCGAATGTAGGAATGGTGCCCAGACACAATAACGACAGACAACTCTTTGTCAGGGCAACACTGACATAAAGACGGCAAAGGGTAACACTGACAGAAAATGACACAACGAACGAAGGACAGAACGAACAGAAGAGTAGAGTAGAAAACACGTGTGTGCAATGCGTAATAAAATGTATGAACAGTATTTTGCTGCTGGTTGTGTGTAAAAGTTTTGTAATTTGTTTCTGAAATTTTAGTTCATTTAATTTATAATTTAAAACTAATAAAAGTGCACGATTAGTGGAATTTCGTCTTACAAGTCTTCTTTTATTTGGACAATCGGTGGGTGAAACCACATATATATAAACAAAATTTGGATATGTAGCTTTTCTTTCTTAAGGGGGAAAAAATTAAATAATTAAATGGAGATATCTTTTAAGAAATTTAGGTGCTTGAATGTCCTTGAATGATCTTCCTCCTTCAGGTCCCTGGTGTTGTATTCTTCTGACTTTATCTAAGAGTGTGGGATTTATTAGTGGGCTTATTCTGGATCTTGTAGAATTACATTATATACTGTCGGCGTGAGACCACCTGTCGTCTTCAAGTATTTTACTACAACTATGCCTTCGTTTGGAGATTTTCGTTATAGTTGGTCTCCTCTGCGTATTACAGAGAATTACTTTCGACACAGTCGACGTGATACCACCTGTCGTGTCTCAGTATTTCATAGTAATTATTCCTTCCTTGGGATATTTTTTATATAAAATACCCTTATAAATATATAAATTTTTGAAATTATTTTGGACACAGTCGACGTGAAACCACCTGTCGTGCCTTAATAATTATTATACCTTGATTTCGATATTTCTTTCATATAAAATATCCTTATGAATTTTAATTTTAGCAACTATTTTGGACACAGTAGACGTGAAACCACCTGTCGTATCTTAATAGTTATTATACCTTGATTTAGATATTTATTTCATATAGAATATCCTTATGTATTTTAACTTTGGCAACTATTTTGGACACAGTCGACGTGAAACCACCTGTCGTGCCTTAATAGTTATTATACCTTGATTTCGATATTTCTTTCATATAAAATATCCTTATGAATTTTAATTTTAGCAACTATTTTGGATCCAGTTGACGTGAAACCACCTGTCGTATCTTAATAGTTATTATACCTTGATTTAGATATTTCTTTCATATAGAATATCCTTATGTATTTTAACTTTGGCAACTATTTTGGACACAGTCGACGTGAAACCACCTGTCGTGCCTTAATAATTATTATACCTTGATTTAGATATTTCTTTCATATAAAATTTGCTTATGTATTTCAATTTTAGCAACTATTTTGGACCCAGTCGACGTGAAACCACTTGTCGTGTCTTAATAGTTATTATGCCTTTGTGCCTCTAGAGCTTAGTTGACTTAGTCTTCCAAGGTGTATGTGCCTTTGAAATTATAAACCAAGTGCCCGCATAAGTAAAATGCGCGTCTTATATACACACTCGACCGAGCTTTTGTGTAGCGTATCATTTTATTTACAGCTGATCTCACGTAATTCTTGTTTACTTTTGCCGTTCTGATTTTCTATTTCATGTTTTATGCGGTACTCAGCTTGTGCATTTAACTTCTCTTTGAGCTTCTCTTAAGGCGAATATTTTTGGCAGTTGTTGTTTTCTTATGTTAACGCTGCTTTGTTTTGATTCTTACAAAACGTGTTGTGGTTTTCTGTGATGTAAGACGTGACTGCGCCAAATATTGTATCCTTTATTTCAAAATCTGGACTAAATGTTGTATCTTTTATTTAACTTCAGTTAGTTGTATCTTTTTACTAACTATAATCGTATATGTCTTTTTTTTCTTAGTTGTAATTTTTGTTTGTCAAGTTATATAGTTTATTTGGTTATACAGTTAAGTAAACTTCACTATTTTTTATGTTTCAAGAAAAAGTCATTGATTTGTTTTCTCTGTAGATATTCTTTTATTTCACTTTTTATTCCAATTTCAAGTTGCTTTCTTTTGTATAGAGTTTTCTTTTTATTTTTGTTTAGTCAAAGCAACTAAATTCCTTAATATAAATGTTTATAACTATTTTACAACGTCACGTTTAGTTTTACATTTTATTTTATTTAAATTATTTATTTTCTTTAAATTTTTACAAATATATTTTTTTGTTTAATTTTTTGAAACACACGACTCAATTGTTTTCAAATTATGAGTCAGCGCTATTACGCTTAACCACTTTATATTTCTAAGAGGCAGTTCAAATTTTGAACCCATCTTATATACCTAAACTTGATGCAAAAATCCAATATATGAGCTTAGAATTACCCTAGTTACCTTATTGGGCTTTTCCATAGTTTCATAATTTACTTTGTCAGCGCTACTACGCTTAACCACTTTATATTTCTAAGAGGCAGTTCAAATTTTGAACCCATCTTATATACCTAAACTTGATGCAAAAATCCAATATATGAGCTTAGAATTACCCTAGTTACCTTATTGGGCTTTTCCATAGTTTCATAATTTACTTTGCTAAACTTGCAAAGTTTTTATTATTACAAGAATGCTCTACATATTTTTGCAATTCTTCCGTATTTAACATTTTCAAAGTCACTTACATCATGACACCAATTACTAACCAAATACCAAAAATCAGCATTTCTTATCGTCGAACTGACGGTCTGATGCTTT